TGGCGCCTGCCTACGTGGTTACTGTTGTCTTATTATTTGTGGCCCCCACCAGAGAGGCCATCTGCCTGACAGCCGTCCTCAGCCCTCTTTCTCTCCTTCAGGTGACCAGCCATGAGTGGGGTAGGGGGAGAGTTAATAGGAGCTTTTACATTTTTATCTTTTTATAATTTATAAAAACGTTTTTTTATTATTGAAGTTTTCACACACGCCAAAGTTGAGAAAACAGGACGATGGACCTTCTTTTTCCCAACACTCAGCTGTAACACTTATCAGTATTTTGTTAATCTTGTCTCCTCCCCTTGTAGCTTTGTTTTTTCGTTTTGTTGTTGTTTGTGGCCACCACTGCTGCCTGCAGTGGAAGCGTGGAGTCTTAACCACTGGATCGCCAGGGAAGTCCCTGTAGCTTTGTTTGTAAAAACACTGTACAGTTTGGTCTGGCCAGTGGCGTTATTTTTTCTTCCCTTAGCAATTTGTCCCTGTTGCTCAGAGCAGTGCAGGCAAATGGTTCTCAGGCCACTGTCCTGGCACATGGGGCTGCCTGGCTCTGCCCATTCATTTGTTGTTTGTCTGTCTTTCTTTGATCCTGTTTCTCCACTTGCATTCGTGACATTCTGGTCAAGAGCCGGTTCCAGTGGTCTTTAATCAGAGGACTTTGGAAGCCTGTGAGGGTCTCTTTCTGTCATCACGGTGACTGGGGATGCCGCTACTGGCATTTAGGCTGGAGGTTGGCAGGGGTCCAGGTGTGGGGAGCACAGATGTTCAACAGCCATAGCTGTGAGGGACCGTTCTGCATTGTGAACACCTGTTCCATCCACACTCGGTCATGCTGCTGGGCACGCCTAATGTACAATGTGGATTGGGGATTGCCTTTCTCTTCATGCCTTTTATAAACGCTTAAAAGTTTGATATAATCCATTTGTTGATCACCATTGATTCATGTGATCAGGTGACTGTAACTAGCCTCTGGTCCTTTCTGAGGGTTCATCCTTGGTTGCAAACCCTTTGGTTGTTTTACTTGGGAAAATGGGGTATCTTGCAGCCTGTGCCCCAGCTTTCTCGTTGCCTGTCCCACGCCTTATCGCTGGCATCCTGCCAGGCCCAGTGGAGAATGGGGATGGAGACAGTGACATTCAGCTGCAGGTCATTCACAGCTTTTGGTGCCCTGGGGGCAGCTGAGAGGGAGGTTGTGGAAGATCAACCTTGAAGGGATTGTAAACTCCTGGGGGCAGGGCTTGGTGGCTATTCTCCTGCCTCTTCCGGCCATCAGCCTGCTGCTGCTGGGGAGGAAGCGCCCCTTAGCAGGCCGTAGCTGATTATCTCGGGTGCAGTCGGGGAGCCTCTGCAGGCAGAACATGGAAAGTGACAACTTCTGAGTTCTTTTTATTTTCAGTCTCACTGGAGATGGATGGCAGCCTTCCACTGTGGGAAACGAAATGTGTTCAGGCAACTTGGGCCCCAGGCGCAGATGAGAATGGGCTAATGGGCACTGAGGAAGGAACAGGGGCTGGAGGGGGAGAGGCACACTGTTAGTCATTACTAATCCGTGACAGCTGCCAGCCAGCCACTGGCGGTTAGCACCCTACTGCACCCGGGACACAGGGTCCCTGGACCTGTCCTTTCTGGAACACTCCAGGGCCCAAACTGTCTCAACTTGTGTGCTGTTCAAACCTCAAATCCGCATGGAAGATGCAATTGGTAACTTAACGCAGGATGAGGGAAGCCAGAGGCTGAGCTGAGTAGATGGTCCAGCCAACATGCTATGGGTATTGGTGAGGATTTCCCTGGCCTGGAACTCTGGATTATTCTAGCAAAGTGTTCTTGGTGTGTGAGATGATTTTCCGTGGCACCCCATTACAGTAAGATCGAATTAGCGAATGAGGAAGGCTTTTCTCTTTTTTAACCCTTACCCATTCCTTTTGACGTGGCTTAGGAGAAGGTCTGAGTACAGTTTTAGTATGCCTCTAACACCTACCTCTAACACCTGCCAGTGTCCCTTTTCCTTTACAGAGTCTCAGGCATGCTACAGTATCCAGGTAGAATTTGACAATATTTTGTTTTTATTATATTCCTTTTTCTGGTTACCTTCCATATATGGCAAGTGATACTGGTTTTCATGTGCGCTAGTAATATGCAGTTTCCTTTTGAAATACATCTTCTGAAGGGGGGAAAAAAGGAGGCTGTTAATTTAAGAAAACAATTGATATAACAGGTGATGTGCTGAGATGGCACAGCATCTTGAAGATGCTTTTCAAATGACTAAAGATCCGGAAATGCTGTTTTAATATTTTGCCTACGTGGTTTTTCTTTATGTTGCAGCCAGGCCGACAGTGTCAGCATGGGATGCTGAGTGGGGGCCCTGTAGTGCCGAGGCCATCGCCACGATGGTCTGTGGTTTGTGTGTCTCCCTCCACCCCCTTCTGTATTTATTTGTTCATTCAGCGGATACATTTTGAGTGCCTACTTTGTGCTGGATGCTGTGCTGTTTGCAGGCAAACAAGGGTGGTCCATGCTCTCTAATAGAAGAGACAAGATTGTAAAAACGTAGCTGGGATTCAGTGTGACGAGCGTACTCACGGAGGGAGGTGCTGCAGCCCTTGAACTGGTATTGTGAGCCACAGGGAGGTCGTGCTGAGTGGGTCAGGAGAGCTTCCCAGAGGAGGAGGTATTTGGGGTGGGTCCTAATGAGTAAGTAAAATGTAACCATTCATAGGTACTCAAGGCAGAGAAAGGGAATTCTAGGCAGAGGGGATGGCATGAATAAAAACATGAAGGCCTGAAGAAACATGGTGAGTTCAAGACTCTTGTGTATATTTGGTGTGGCTAGAGTGTAGACAGTGCGCCTTAACTGTTAACACCAACCCTATGGGGTAGGTAATTAGGATTAGCCCCACTTTACACTTGAGGACACTGAGGCATGGACAGGATAGTAACTTGGCAAAGCCGAAGCTGAGGTTAGAGGCAGGCCTCCATTAGCTCAGAGAAGGTTTCCTGAGTTGTTCTGAAAAGCGTGCATTTGATCTTGAAGGCAGAGGGAGAAACTGAAGGTGATTAAACAGGGCGGGACTGGGTGAAACCTGCCTTTCCTAGAGATTGCTCTGGCAGTGTGCCCTCCACAAGTGAAGCGTCACTTGAAGTTTGTTCCATAAGTGAACACTTGAATGCTTTGCTGTCAAGTTTGTTTTGAATCAAGCATCTAGTTATTTCCTAGCATGTGTCCCGCCCTCCCCCCACCCCATTGTAGCTTTTGTTGATGTTGTTTCTCTTCACTTGGTTGATGTTTAAGTGATTGATTCGGTTCATAGTGTTTGAACCTCACCTTAATGTCTAATAATCAAGATCAGACTTTCTTCCTAACACAGCAATATTGCACGGTAAGGCTGGCTCACAGTTCAGAGGAAATGCCAGCTCCAAGAAGGCAAAGGGCTGTAATTACTTAAAGTGACCTCATTTAAGAATTTTGAGTGACCGTTTGATTGTCAGAGTTCTGCATACATTGTATTTTATTTCTGTCCAGGTTTCCACTGGCTGAACACTTTGGTTATGAGCTGAGTGTCAAGGCCAAATATTGCATTTTGAAACTGAGAGTCAAACTAGCAATTTAAACTCCTGACTTTCGTACCTGTCTGTGAAATTCAGATAAATGAAATGGAAATCTAACAGGGCTGCTGTGTTACGAAATACTGACTCTGCCTCTCCTTGTAGAGAAATCTCTAAGGGAAAATCATTTTAGCATATATAAATATATTAAAAAAATATATAACACACTTTTCCCCCCCTTTTTTTAGTCTTCCTTTCACTTTCTTGATTTGCCCCATTTGTGATTCCCCATTCAAATTAGGCTTGTTTGAAACCAAGGGTCCCTTGAAGAGGCACTTGTGGTAATTTTGAAAATGAAAACCTACTCCTTGAAAATACTTCAGCCTAGCTTGTCCACCTTCCTGTCTGTTTCTGCAGCTGGTGCTTCTCACCACTTCCCCACATCCTCTCTTCCCCTGGGGCCAGCTCCGCTGTGGCTGCCTAGTTTAGGCTCTTGCCCTGATCGCGTTCCCCACCTCCTTTACCTGCAGAGGTGTCCTTCCTGACCCCTTGCTTTGGGAGCCCGAGAGTTCTTCTCCTCCGTCTCTGGCTGTGGTAGAGGATAGGGGCCCCCTCCCCTCAGAGCATAGGAGAGCGGGTGTCTGTGCAGACGCAGGCTGGCTGCCCAGGGCACTGACATGGGTTTGAGGCATAGGAGGACTCTAAAGCCTTGCTAACAAAGCTTGCATGCCCATGATCTAGTGGTACCAGAACTACTTCTACTGTCCCCCAGGATCCAAATTTGAGAACTGACTTTCAGCTTGCTCTGAATTAATCAATGGTAAAAGGCAGATCATAAAATCCTCAAGAACATGGATCATATGTATTATTTGGATGCTGTATACCAATGCTCACTGGCTTTCATTCTTAATAATTGTTATTTTAAAAGGTTTCTCTTCTTATAAATATTTATTTATTGTAGCAAATTTAGGCAAAAAACAGTTAAAAAAGAAAAAGAAAGAAAAGAAAAAGAATAATCCCACTGCTCTCAAAAAAATAATCCCCGTTACTTTTTTGGTGTACATCCTTCTGCCATTTCTTATATACACAGGTGCGTGCAGACATATGGGCTTATGTAAGACACTGTTTTGGAAGTTTGACCTGCTTTTCAGTTAATACTTACTCTGATCATCATTCCAAGGCATTAAATATTCTCCTAGGATATCTTTTAAACATCCGTAGAACATTTTTTGTATGAATGAATGAAAGTGTTTATTTAGGCAGCCCTTTCTGGTTGGACATTTATGTTGTTTCCAGTGTTCCTGCCACTCTTGATATAGCATTAAGGTGAGCTTTCTTTTAGCTATTGCCCACGACTCTGGAACATTTCCTAGGATAAATTCCCTAAAGTGGAAGTGCTGGGTCAAGCTTTTCTTTTTTGAAGCTTTTGGTGCATAATAATATTTACTTTTGTTTCTCTCTAGACACTACAACAACAGGAATGCAAACTTCTCTACAGCAGAAAAGAGGGTCAGAGGCAAGAGAATAAAAACAAAAATAGATATAAAAACATCCTGCCCTGTAAGTATCAATGTATTTCTCCATAATAGTCATTCTTGGAGGTTTTGATTCCCAGTGTCTCAGTAACTTTTCTGGGGGCCATGTGCTTTCTCAGCAGATCCAAGGCCTTAGCTTCTTTTAATTGTAAGTAGTTTCCAAAATAATCAGCTGTTTTGGGGATGGATGGCCTCATTCACTGAGTTCCTGTGATGTTGATTACGGAGTAAAATTGCCACTGGGAGGCTTAGTGTGTGGTTGTTTCCTTCTGTTAATTAATTTTGTCTGCGTAGGAGAGATCATCTCAAGGCTTGCCATCTCCCAGGGTCTCACCATCAGGCTCAAGTGTCCCAGGCTTGTGTCCTTGCTTTGCAGCGCCCAGCCCTTGGGTCTTGGGGACGGCACGCCTCCTTTCTGGGGTTCTGTTCCCTCATCCGGGGAACAGACGAACTCCTCCTGGGGGTTCTTCCAACTGTTCCCTTCATCTTTTCCGACATCCCTCATCCCTTGAGCTCGAATTACTGGAGATTCAGGTGCATACCTATGCTTTGCTCAGAAGTAGACCTTGTGATATTCATAAAGCAGTACCTCCTTTAACACCCAGGTGCTGCCAGGTAGAGCCTGAGTTGAACTGTAGTGAAAAAGAGGCCCAGAAGGATGTAGGCCTTGGGTGAGGATCCCAGAAATGGCACCACACAGTTGTGATAGCTCACCTCCCCTGAGTGCTGTCTCTGTGCCAGACTCTGAGTCCATATCTCACTTAATCCGTATCCCATGCACACAAAGCAGGAGTTCTTATTATCCCCATTTTAGGGACCATTTTAGCAAGGTCACAAGTGGGAGTGAGTGGGAGAACTGGTACTGGAGCCCCCAAAGTCACTGCTCTTAGCCCTGAGCTCTAATGCAGGGTCTCCAGAGTGGGCTGGGTAAGGCAGTCTGCTATGGGACAGGGAAGGAACATTTAGAACGTCTCTTGATTTACATCCTTTGTCTAAAAAAAAAAAAAAAAAGAAAGTAAATTTTTAATCTGATGTGCAGCTTGATGGCAGAGCGTGCATAATGTTTTTACCCAATTTAAAAATAAGGCTTGTGTGGGACTTCCCTGGTGGCGCAGTGGTTGAGAGTCCGCCTGCCGATGCAGGGGACGCGGGTTCGTGCCCCGGTCCGGGAAGATCCCACATGCCGCGGAGGGGCTGGGCCCGTGAGCCATGGCCGCTGAGCCTGCGCGTCCGGAGCCTTTGCTCCACAACGGGAGAGGCCACAACAGTGAGAGGCCCGCGTACCGCAAAAAAAAAAAAAATAAAAATAAGGCTTGTGTGTATCTATAATTGTATATATATTTCAGTGTTCAAAAACTTTATTATTGAAGTTTATTGGGTAGCATGATCAGGGGAGAGCACTGCTGTAATGTCTCCTCAGGCCAGAGCTATTTTGTCAGATACTGTAAACCCATCCCATGTGTGCGTGTGTGTCTCTGTGTGTGTGTGTGGCATAGTCTTTCTGTATACATAGGTGCACACACACAGTGTATATGTATATCACATCCATGTAGATATTTTTAATGTGTGCAGTTGAGGATGGGAGAAAGTGGAGGCATTTCTAATACTGAGGAGAGACAATGAGGAATTTGTAGAGAATCATTTTGAGCCACAGCATGGTCCTAATGACGTTGGGGAAGCATTGCCCTCTTTGTGTCTTAAGTTTTCATTTCTGCTCAAGAGGTCTAAATGGTACTCATTAGTAAGATGTGGGGATGTAGGAAAAGATGAAGGGAACAGTGGTATGCAGTATCTATTGATAAATAGAATATTATTGCCCTTTCCTCCCTTAAAGATCCCAATCAGATGTTTCTTCTGATTAACATCATATTCTTTAAAGATGGGGAGTCTGAAGCAAAAGAACGTTATTCTAGTAAGACATACAACTTTATTACTATTTCTCAGTGTAAAATGTGTTGCTTAGGTAGAACACTCAGATTTTTTTAAAATCAGTAATGTACTTTTGTATAAAATTTGGTCAGTAGGATATCATCAGAATCCTGTTGTCTAGATACTGTATTTAATTCTACTTCATTAAAAAAACACCCTTTTTATTATGGAAAGTTTAAAATACATTCAAAAGTAGACAGAATAGTATAAAGAACCCACACGTACCCATCACCCAGCTCCAACAATTGTCAACTCCTGCCCAATCTTGGTTCATCTATATTCTGATACACTTCTCTTCTCTTCCTGAATTGTTTTGAAGCAAATCTCAGACATCATGTCATTTACCTGTAGTTTACTCTTCCTCTAAAAAAACCCCAAAAAAACAAAAATACCTTTTGTTTTGAAATAATTTTAGACTCACAAGAAGTTACAAAAATATATAGAGGGTTCCCATGTACCCTTTATCCAGCTTCTCCCAATAATAATATTCTATATATCCATAGTACATTATCAAAACCAGGGAATTGACATTGCTACTTTATTCTCTTAAAGAAAGCATTATGAGGCATCATATTCAGATTATTGTTTAGGATTTAGTTTTTAATGTTGTTTTATCATGAAATGAGCAAAACTTGGACTCGTTGAGAATGAACTGATTTGAATTGATTTGTCCTGAAGAGGTCTCAGTACCTTTGTGACCATGGTCTCTTTTTCTTCCAGTTGACCACACCAGGGTTGTCCTACACGATGGTGATCCCAATGAGCCTGTTTCAGATTACATCAACGCAAACATCATCATGGTAAACTTTGTTTCTTGTGGTGTTTTCTGACTGTATATTGCTAGCCAGTTTTTGTATTTTAAATACTTCCTCATGGCCTGAAAGCAGTTTTCAAATGTTTGAAGTATTTTCTTCCTAAATTTCTAGCCTGAATTTGAAACCAAGTGCAACAACTCAAAGCCCAGAAAGAGTTACATTGCCACACAGGGCTGCCTGCAAAACACAGTGAATGACTTTTGGCGGATGGTGTTTCAAGAGAACTCCCGAGTGATTGTCATGACAACAAAAGAAGTGGAGAGAGGAAAGGTATGCTATATACTCTACTTTTTTGAAGTATTGGACATGTCAGGTTGAACATGTTAAGAACTGAATAGGGACTTCCCTGGTGGCGCAGTGGTTAAGAATCCGCCTGCCAATGCAGGGGACACGGGTTCGAGCCCTGGTCCGGGAAGATCCCACGTGCCGCAGAGCAACTAAGCCCGTGCGCCACAACTACTGAGCCTGCGTTGTGGAGCCCATGTGCTGCAACTACTGAAGCCCGCGCGCCTAGAGCCCATGTTCCACAACAAGAGAAGCCATCGCAATGAGAAGCCCGCGCACCGCAACAAAGAGTAGTCCCCGCTCACCGCAACTAGAGAAAGCCTGTGGGTAGCAACGAAGACCCATCACAACCAAAAATAAAATATAAATAAATTTATTTAAAAAAAAAAAGCTGAGTAAACACAGTAAGCTTACTCTGACCCTCTGGAAAAAAGGGAGTAGGAGAAATTTGATTATGACGGACCTTGGTGTAGTTTTCTTTGTTTCTTCTTCTTAGGGTTCATGGAGCTTCTTGGGTCTTTGGGTTTATAGTTTTCTTCAAATTTGAATAATGTTTACTATTTCTTCACATATGAACTGCCAACCCACCCTGTCCTGGGATATCAATTACACATATATTAGGCTGTTTGAAGTTGTCCTGTAGCTCACTGAGAATTTCTTCATTTTTTTTCAGTTCACTTTTTTCCCTCTGTGTCTGGGATAAGTTAGATAAGTTTCTTTTGCTATACGTGTTTCAGTTAATCTTTTCTTCTGCAGTGTAGAATCTGCTGTTCATCCTATCCAGTGTAATTTTCACAGTAGACATTGTCCTTTTCATTTAAGTTTTATTTGAGTCTTTTTAATATATCCTATGTCTCTCTTCTTAACATGTCCATCATTTACTGTACCTTTTGAACATATGGAATATATTTATAATAATTTTTTAAATGTCCTTGTTACTAATCCTATTATATATGTCATTTCATTTTTCCATTTTAGTGGTTTAAGGTAGGAGAGTAAATCCAGTCTCTTTTACCCCATTGTGTCCAGAAGCAGAGGTCATAAAGGGAGTGTAAGAAGGCCTGTCTGGTACCTTCAGGGGATTAGAGGACTAATCAATAAACATTGATTTCACTTGTCATGTGAACTATACTTAGGACTTCTAAGCATTTAAAAAATTAATTTGAACTATCCAGACAATATATTCAGATAAACATTCAAACTCCTTACAATTAAAATGACCTTTGTCACCATCCCTTGTCCACCCAATTGTTCCCTCCTCCAACATAAACCCTCTTATCAGTTTGATGTGTACTCTTCTACACTGTCTTCTTGGCATTTGCATATGCATGTGTATAATAGGCATTATATACCTACATTTGCACATGTACATGTATTTACATACATACATGCTCCTAAAGAAGTATATAGTGCTATTTTCGGACAAGTACTGTATGAAAAAGTGCTGTCATACAGTAACTTTATTGTGTATCTTGGTTTTTTTTCTCCCCACTAAATATATGTTCTAACTTCTTCTGTTAGTACATATTGACCTATCTCATTCTTTTTAGCAATCGCATGGTATTCCATGGTATGGATGTACCACCATTTGTTTAACAGTCATATATTAGGCATTTAAATGTTTCAGTTATTGCTCTTATAAACAGTGCTGAAGTGAACAATCTTGTTTTTGCTTTTGTATGTGGTAAGTGTTTTTCTAGGTTAGATGTCAAGAAGAAATGCTAGGTCATAGCGGGTGTGCATGTTGTAAATTAAAAAAAATTTTTTTTAATTTTTCTTTTTTTCTCTTTTTTTTTCCATTTTTGAAATTTTTTTGTTTATTTTTTCTTGTTTATTTATTGTTTTTGCTTTTGCATGTTGTAAATTTTAATAAATTCTGCCAACTACCCTCTAGAGTGGTTGTCCCAGTGTACGCTCCCCCCAAGCAGCATATGCCTAGTACCCATCTCCCTGCACTCTTCATGACACTTCAGGTTTTTAAAAGTTATAACATCCCACACCTATAGAGAAGCAGACAAATCTCACTGAGTGACAGCTCTGTGTCATCTCTTTGTCCATTTTTTAATATGGAAAAGTTCTCTGTTTTTGTTTGTGTTCTAGTCAAAAGTTCTTTTCTTTAGATATACTTTAACTGGTTTATGTAAAAGTTGCATGGAATGTAGCAGTCATACCCTATAAAAAGACAGATGGGTGATTTTGGATATTAGCCCTTCTAATGTAATTTTCGTATCAGTTGTGAAAGGCAATGTGATTTTGTAAGATTTTCGTTGTTGTACTGCTAGTTGTTACACTTTTGAATACCTTTGAGGCCAGGTCTGGTCATTGTGAAACAAAGGCTTCCGCTAGCAGCTGCCTGCAGTAACAGTAGATGTTCTTGCATTAATGGACAAGTTAAAATGTCTTCATAGTTTTTGCTTCAGGTGAGTGTCACCTGCTCTAAGTATGGAAAGGAAAACAGAAACAGCCCTCTGTCCTGCCTGTTGCCTGATTGCAGTTGTAGGAGGCCACCTGTTCTCAGAGGACTTGGGGGCTGTGAAGAGAGGGTTCTTAGGTCACTTCAGAGGGATCAGGATTGGTCCCTCTCAGAAGAGCTGCCAGAAACTCCTAGAATAGACAGACATTGGGCCAAGTCACTCTGCCCCCCACTCCTTCCCTCCTTCTCCCAGCCTTTGTCTGTTTTCTCATTCTTCGTCTGTACTCTGCTGCTGGAGAGGAGGACGTGATGGGCTTTCAGTCTCCCCGCGAGCGTTTCTGGTAACTTGTTCGCCTGTTATCCCCGCCAGTGCACAGAAGAAAAACCAGACTCTGAATTCCCCTTGATTCCTGGGCTTTAATTTAAAAGCTAAAGTATTAGCACTCACATTTTAGAATTTGTTTGCCAAGGTTTACATCAGAGTTTGGGAAACTGGGAGGAGGGCACAGTAGATTGCAGACATGCAGAGTCAGCTACAATGTTAGGAGTTGTGATTTAATTTGTCTTCTTTTGAGCAACCAGCAGTCCTCAGAATTGATTGGAGAGTGACAGCATTGCATACATTTAATAGTCAAAGTGTTTATTTGGGGATAATAAAAAATTGTGTCAAATCTGTCAAAGAGGTTTTTGGATCTACAGGATCGTGGAGGGAAAGCTGAATTCAGAATAATGCATAAAAGACCACATAAGCCATGTTAAGCAGAAAAGTAAACACTGTCCATTAATTCTTCTGTTGACCTTTCCTCCTGCCATGTTTTTCTTCTTTCCCTCAGTCATTGACTGTGGGGACGTCTGCAGCTGCTCTCTGATTTCTCGTTTTATAACAGTGAATTTCTCTGTCTTCCTAATGCACAAGGTAGGTTTCTCTTGCTGATATTTGTGTCTTGGTTGTTGTTGAAAGTGAGTGGCATGGGTGACTGCTCCCAGGAAAAAGCAAGACACAAAGGCATTCTCTGCCCAGGACACATCACCAAGTATACGCAGACTCATCTCTCATTGAGCAAAATATCTTCCTCTTTGGCAACCAGAATGATTCCTTTGGTGCCATATTCTCCAATCTGCCTGCTCTGAAGCCAGCAGCTATTGCAGGCTTGGCGTTCCCAGGCACCCAGTTAAGTGAAGGTGACGTGTGTAGCAGGTATCAGATGGATCTGGATATAGAAAAAGCAGCTGGTTCAAAACCCCATCAGCTGCCTTTCTGTGCTGGAGTTATTTCACACTTGGGTTAGATAAGGCGGGGAGACCTCCTACACTGGCACGGAAATGGACCAGACAGTCTGGCTCGTTGGGCAGCCCATCCACCTCCAGAGCCCCTGCTTGCCTTCCCTGCACAGTGACTGGTAGATCTCTGGAATTCAGAACTGAGTGCATGCTAGGCAGCACCCTCATACTGGGTAGTCCCCTTCTTTCTGCCTCTTTGGTTCTTTAGAGAGAAATAAACAAACACTGGCTCTCCTTGGACCTGTGGCTTAAATTAGACAATTTTGCAACAGCGGCTTTCTCTTCCCACTTCTCCCTGGTTCTCCACACACCTGCTTTTCTTTTTGAATTCTTCTTTCCTTCTTTCAAAACCCAACAGTTAGATACCAGACAGGCCGTTTTCCATGTTAGTGGTCATCAAGGAAGACTTGAGCGTTGGTTTTCTTTTGGTTTCGGCTTTCATGTCAGAGTTCACAGAGATTAACTGTCTTTTCTCTGATCCCTTCCAGAGTAAATGTGTCAAATACTGGCCTGATGAGTATGCGCTAAAAGAATACGGGGTCATGCGCGTTAGGAACGTCAAAGAAAGTGCTGCTCATGACTATACGTTAAGAGAACTTAAACTTTCGAAGGTTGGACAAGTAAGTATATTGTCGTACTTTAGTGACTTTGGTAACTGCGCATGGTGTGCGCTAATCCAGGGTCGTGCGGTTACTCCTGTCTGCATACCTTCAGGCATTCGTTCACTCATTGAATAACATCCATCTATCAGGCGCCTTCTATGTGCCAGGTACCGTCAAGGTACTACTGATACATCGCAAACCAGACCGGCACAGTCCCTGCCCCCACAGAGCCTAGGGAGGTGGAAGGTTAAGGAGTAAATAACCAACTAAGCTTTCCGATTGTGCTCCAGCTGTGAAAGCCACAGGATGGTACGTTAGAGAGTGACTGGGTACCCGAGATGGAGTAAACAGGGAGGGCCTCTCTGAGGGGGTGCCACGCAAGCTGAGACCTGAAGGTGGAGCAGCATCCAGAGGGTCAGGAGAGGAGTGTTCTAAGCGGAGGGAGCAGCGAGTGCAAAGGCCCTGAGGCCTATTCAGTGACCAAATTCCATGGCATCAGCTTTTAATTGCTTGTAGTTCAGGTTTGTCCCTGGGGTGACTAACTTTGAATCCAACAAGATTTGGATTCATTTTAATTGCATGGTGAGAGGGGCTTACTTTTTCAAAGTCCTTTGGGGACACACAGGTAAGCGAAATAGCCTTTGTCCTCAGGGAATTGCAGTCATGTAGCCGAGAGAAGCCACGTATACAAAGTCCTGTGCTTTCGAGCAGACACCGGCTGTCACACCCGTCTAAGGCGCTGGGGTTCTGCCGAGGCTGGGCTTCCAGCCGAGGCATCAGGGAGACCGTCTCACAAGAGGGTGGGCCTTTAGGTCGGGGTCTCTGTGGGAGAAGATGGTGGAGAGAGGGTCTCCCAGATGAAGTGTCATTGTCAGCCAGGGTTCTGAAGTGCCAATGTCAAGGAAATGGGGTTTACAGGGAATGAAGGCAAGTGGGGAATTGAGGGAGTAAACTTGGGTTGAGAGAGGTTGGGACCAAGTTGGGAAGAGCCCTAACGCTCATGTGAAGAAATGTAAATTTTAGGGACTTCCCTTTTGGTCCAGGGGTTAGGACTCTGTGCTTCCATTGTAGAGGGTCTGGATTCGATCCCTGGTTGGGGAACTAAGATCCCACATGCCGCAGGCATGGCCAAAAAAAAAAAAAAGGAAATGTAAATTTTATTCATTGGCTGGTGTTGGACCCGTGACGGTTCTTGTGCCAAGTGGACACATGTGGAGACAGGTGCCAGGAAGGTGTCCTACAGCCCCCTGAGGGAAGAGTGGGATGGAGTGACTCCAGTGGCCAGGACGCCTGTAACCAGGAGGGCTCCGCAGAGGTCTAGGTCTGATGGCCTCTCTCCACGTTTTGCTTCTTTTTCCTTCCTTTGGAAATGAATATGATATAAAATGCCAGAATAAACTCTAGAAGAGAAGCAAGGGATGTGAGAGACCCCTTGGGGGGTGAAGTCTGTAGGGTGTGTAGGGATAGTTTGGCTATTGGAGGAGGAGGCGGAATCAGACGTCGTAGGGTTTTGAGTCTGAGTGGACGGTGGCACTGTGGCAGAGGTCTGAAAAGCTGGAAGATGTACAGGATGGTAGGGCTTGAATCGTTTGGGTAAAACATGGTAGGGGCAATGGAAAGAAGGGGACCGACTGGAGATAATTGTGGATGTAAATGTGAAGGGGTTTGATGATGGCGTGAATGAGGGGCGAGGGCTGCAGCAGATTTGAGGAGGGAGGGAGGATGAAGCGCAACCTGCTGGACACGTAAAGTTTGAGATGCGTTTGAGACGTCAAGGCGAGGATGCCAGGGAGGCAGGGGTGGAGGCTGGACGAGGAGGGGCGTGGGATCTAGAGCATCGTGGATGGATTGGTTTTGATCGATGGGGATAGCACTTCTTGGCCACAGGAGGGAAAGAGGAGAAGGTGGCCACAGATATAGGGAGGGGAGCTGACAGGGATTTGCTCTAAATTCTCTATCAGGCCTGAGGCAAGGCCATCCATTGACATTCAAAGGGAATAAGAAGAGGCGAAATGTTTGAGGAAAGTGGGGAAAGGATGAAATAGTCATTGTGTAGCAAAGCCAGAAATCCAGTAAATTTCTGGGCAGTGCTGAGTGCCCACTGAGGTGGTGAAGATGACCATTCAGTGATACCAGTCACCTGGTGTGAGTTTTCTCCAAGGACACTCTGTTCCTTGGGTACAAAACAGAGAAAGTGGGTGGTTAGGTTCGTCCAGGCTTGGGGCTTTGCTGGGGCGGGGCGGGGTGTGTGTGTTTGTGTGTGCAGTGGATGGAGAGAGGGTGGAGGGAGTGGAGGTCTGTGATGGAGAGTGGCTGTGAGGAGAGTGCGTGGAATCTGAGCTGGGCAAGCCAGCAGCAAGGGCAGGAGGAGGCAGGCGGAGGGTGGAGGGAGGGGCTCAGTGGTCTGGTGAGTTCCATGAGGTGGTCGGGGGACTGAAGTGAGCTGGAAGCCTCGGCAGTTGTGGTCCAGGGTGGGATGTCAAACTTCTGATGTCAGCGGGGGTGCGGTTGTGGGGAGAGGGTGGAGGTTCACTTGGAGAGTCTGAGAGAGGAGTTGTCCAGCAGAAATGAGACAGAGATTTAGAGGACGTCGGACAAAGATTCCAGATAGGTTTTTCTTCAGGTTTAGTGATAACTACCCATCTTCTCATCATCAGGTGTTTCTCAGTAGCAGGTGGATTTTTTCTTCAGTTTTAGTGATAAACCATCCTTCTTGTTATCGGAGATTTGGGAAGAGCAGGTACGGGAAAAGTTGGCGTTTTGGGTTTGTGTTTTGCACCCTCGGATGCAGGTGCTGGCATGGGACCGATCATTCCTCCAAAATTGCTGGTCACAGATTATCTGCTTTTTTGTAGAGCTCGTTCCATGTTTTCTAAAGTGCTATCACATGATCTCATTTATGCCTCCTGATTGCCTGGGAAGGAGGGGTGGGAGCAGAGACCTCAGTGGCCATTTACGAAGGATGAGGAGCAAGGATGCTCCGGGCGCTGGATCTCTCTCGTTCCCTGTCCTTTCTGTGACCCTGGTAGCCCCCTGATCTTTAGCTCACTGGTAACATCCAGAAAAATCTTTTTCTGACTCAGCAAATTAAATGCACATAATTCAAGAAAGGATCTTGGTTGTGGTTCAGATTCCCTGGATGTTCTGAAGGTTACTGGTGGTGGACACTGGTCTAGTTACTCTCTCTCTTTTTTAAAATCCCCTTTAAAAATGTTACTTAGCTTGGATTGTCTCCAGATATGTCGGAAGAAGATGTAGTGACGAATAGTGCCATTACAGGGATCTAATCTGGGTAGACCCAGAACACGATGCTTTTTGGTTTTTTGTGGTCTTGGTATCCTTGTTGACCTTTATTAATGTCAGTCCTCAGAAGAGCACCAGTGTGCTGAGTCTCTTAACTGTCTCCTGCACAGTGGCTGTGTGTTTAATTGACATTGTTTAGTCTTTAGTCCTCACAGTGGTATTGTGACTGAGAGATTCTTATCTCCATCGGCAAATAAAGAAGTTGAGGCTTAGAGATGTCCAGGGGCCCGCAGTGAGTGTGAATCCTGAAATTTGGGCCTAAATCCACCCATCTGATTGCAAAGCCTGTCTTCTTATCTGCTTTGCAGCAAACAGAGGTTTAAATATCATATTATAATAAAAGTGTGTGTTGGGGGAGGGGAGGAGGGCCAGGTACAAAAAGACAAAGAGGAACAAGTGCTTGAGGGAATACCCGTTTTCTTATCTGGTGGGAGGAGGGCCCTGAGTCCCAGAGGCCTCAGTTGCCTCCCGGGTAGAGCTGCCCTTGGATGAGGAGGATCAGGGACCTCATCGGCCCCTGGCTGAGGATTCAGAGACTGATTCAGGCTGTAGTTTCCTGAAGAACAAATAGCCGAACGAGACATCTTGGTTCTTATGGCAGAGGCCAAGGGTTGCCTCCAGGATTGCTCAGTCAGACCCAAAAGTAGGAGAGATCTGGGAAACTCGTGCAGGGGACCTGTAAGCAGTGTGTGAGGAGGCTCTGTGCGGGCCCGGTCCCCTGGCTCACGTAGGATCTGGGAAAGATGGGGACCAGACGAGTCCTCAACCCCTTGATTTATTTAATTCTTTTCTGGTTTTTCTTGGCTCTACTCCAGGGGAATACGGAGAGAACGGTCTGGCAATACCACTTTCGGACCTGGCCGGACCACGGAGTGCCCAGTGACCCCGGGGGCGTGCTGGACTTCCTGGAGGAGGTCCACCATAAGCAGGAGAGCATCACGGACGCGGGGCCTGTGGTGGTTCACTGCAGGTGACCAACCCTCCCACCTCCAGGGTGCTGCCTGTCCTGTGTTCTGATGCCCAGGGGGCTTGTTTTTACCTGCCCATCCCCAGCTCTTTAACTGAGGGAAAAATTTAATCTCTGTTTGAGGCATTAAGGGACCACTTTGACCCAAAGTACATTTCTTCTAGATCCTACGGGACCACCGTGTACCTGGGGGTGGTGGGGCACAGGGTGGTAAACACAGTCCTTATTCTCAAGGAGCCCTTAGTCTGGTAATGTTTGCTTGGTTTTCTTTGTTAATATAATAATTTAGGATTCATCTCTTTGATTGTGCTTCTGTTCTCTTTTTCCATGGAAATAAGGTATATTTTTTCCCCTGACAATATACTTGTTTGCTTCAGAAGATTCGGACCGCTCCCCATCCAGGCTTCTAGAAGCCAGGCCCATGGCCTCTGCACCAGAGTTCGCAGGCTGCTGGTGCCCAAGCTTAGGTTTCATGATTATACTGGGGAAAGTTTGGTTTCCTAAATCTCTTTCATATGCAAGTAGATGTGGGTGAAATGTTATTTATTCAGTTCTTTAAAAGCTCCCTTTTATTGAGCACTTGCTCTATACCAGCATCTGAGCTCAGTGCTTTTCATCCGTTACTCATATTTGATCCTCACAACAACCTGTTCCACAGATGAGGAAACTGAGGGTCAGAGAGGTTAAGGGAGTTGCCTCAGGCACATTGTGCTGGAGAAGCTGGACTCCAAGTGTAGGATGGACTGAGTCCAAAGCCCTGTGCTCTTTGCTAATATATTTGCGAATATAAATGGACAATCTTATAAACACTCCCAAGAGCAGACATTGTTTCTGTTAATATTAATAGCTTGGTTTTGCATATAAAACCCTCATGAATGACTCCGTTGTCCTCGCTCTTCATCCTTCTGCCCACAGTGCTGGAATTGGCCGAACAGGGACGTTCATTGTGATTGATATTCTTATTGACATCATCAGAGAGAAAGGTAGGTCATCTGGAGGACAAGAAGCTACAGTTCCTGTTTTCAGTTTATGGAAGGAAAGTGCTAGTGAAAGTAGCCTGTAGAAGAGAATTGAGTGTTAAAATATTTTCACAAAAATCTAGGCCGGAGACTTCAGCTTTCAGTATGTTTGCCAGAGAACAGAAGTGATGCTGTTTGAGCTTTTGGCATAAAATAAAGCCTAGGAGCTGTGGGTGCCACTGCTCTGGTCTTTTGTTGAACATGCAGCTGCCTTGCTGATGGTATGGGACGGTGCTGTTGGAACGTGAGGGACCCCTCACTGCTGACCCTTTACGCTGTAATCTTCTAGGATCCTTGGTATTGGTCAGAAGGCCAGTGCTGTAGCCCTTGGAACGTGTTCGGTTAGAACATTAAAGACTAAATTTGCTTTATCTCTGAGTCTGCTAACAGTTGTGCATTAAACCACTTCACATTGTCTCTGCAGTTTATCCTGATACTCCATGGTGCTTGCTTTGTAGGTGTCGACTGTGACATTGACGTTCCCAAAACCATTCAGATGGTGCGGTCTCAGAGGTCAGGGATGGTCCAGACAGAAGCACAGTACCGATTCATCTATATGGCCGTCCAGCATTATATTGAAACACTACAGCGCAGGATTGAAGAAGAGCAGGTACCAAGCCTAGAAGGCTGGCGTGTGGATTTTCAGTGGTTTTTTTCTGGGCAGCTTGGATATGCTCTCCTTCCATGCAAAAGGACAGGCTCTGATAGATAACTGTCTTTCTTTGAAAAGGAGAAACAAGTTCCCAACCAGGAAGGGCCTCTCTGGAAACGAATTATTCCCTACTTCACAGCTCTCATTTTTCAGTATGGAGTAGCTCAGGAAGGGGCACCAGGCCTGACAGATTGGGGAAACAGCCACAGAAAAATTGGGATTTTCCCAGGCTCACACGGCAAGCTTAGAACGCAAAGCCTCAAAGTTTCCAGCCTGTTCCACTTTTGGTCCAGGCGATATTCATCCTGATTCCATCTCTTAAATGAACGCCTCACTCTTAATAGCACATGGGGGTTTGAGCCACCAATTTGGTCGAGTTGGAAACAGTAAAATTTCAATTTTAATAAGCCATGCATAATGAAGAACAATGTGGCATTGGTGCCTTTCCATTGGAAGCTATTCATAACAGACACAAAGCTGAGTTAAAGAGGATTGAGCGGACTGCTCTTTTGGGAGCTTAGGCTTATCTCCCTCCCCAGCCCCAGCCCCAGCCCCATTGCTGTGCTGCAGACTGGATGGTGTCTAAACATCAACAGGATTTGCCTGCTTTACCCTGTTTATTGCCTTCCAGAAAACTCAGCTTCTCAAAATAGGACCTGCCACCTAATTGAAAGATTTCTAGCCCAGCAGCATAGCAGCCACGTTATCAAAGTGTGGTTAGCCAAAGTTAGTTAGTTAGTTTAGTAGGTTCTCAGTCCACACAGAAATACTCACTAGATTGTTTCCTTGTACAAAAACATCTTCAGAAGCTGTGTGTGTATAGAAAGCTACCGCCAAATAGTTAACAAGCTACTGGTTTTGAACTTTACTGCTTTAAGTCTGACTTTGTGTTATTGTAAGTGCTATGAACTGTTTAGATGGTTACTGTAGGCTATTTTATATTTGTCTTCCAGCTATATTAATTTGGGCCAGGAATACTTAAAGCATAAAGCTACCCAAAGAGAAGGACTCCTAATAAATACAAGAGAGGATAGTACAGTTGGTACAAATGGGAAGTTATTCGGGAATATCTTGAAGAACATAATGTAGTCTTTTCTTGTTCAGAAAAGCTGGGGGGAAAGCTCTCTATTTCACTCAGAAGCTTTGGTTTTTCTTCTTGTTTTGGAGAATTTAGGGACTTTCCCTCCCAGCTTTTCTGGCACTTCAGATCTTCCCATTACCATATATGGTCCCTCTGACCCTGAATTTGAAGTTGTAATTTGGATTTAGGAACTACTTAAAAAAAAAAACAAAAAACCTTTATTGCTGCTCTTTTATTGGAGGTGAGGGGTAGGAGAGGTAGAATGTAGACAGAATGTAGTCTACAGAATGTAGACGATAGAAACTGAATGTCCCTGGTAATCCCATCCCAAGAGTACTAGAATGCATGCATGCATTCATCCACTCAGCCAATACTTTTTTGGTGCCAATACGTGTCAGCACATGAACTACTATTTGATATATGAGCCTTTGGATTTATGTAGCCTAAATATATGTAGGCTTAGATTATATTTATTTTTAAAAATTAGATCCTGTAATATGTTGTTTTCTGCATTGTATTGTTTGATTCAGTGTAGGAACTTGCTACTTGATTTAGTGGTAAAGTAAGAAGTACTTTATTTTAGCAGAAGGTTTAAGTGGCAGACTTAAGAACATGAAAACCGGGCTTCCCTGGTGGCACAGTGGTTGAGAGTCTGCCTGCCGATGCAGGGGACATAGGTTCGTGCCCCGGTCCGCGAAGATCCCACATGCCGCGGAGCGGCTGGGCCCGTGAGCTATGGCCGCTGAGCCTGCGTGTCCGGAGCCTGTGCTCCGCAACGGGAGAGGCCACAACAGTGAGAGGCCCGTGTACCGCAAAAAAAAAAAGAACATTAAAACCACCTGATTTTTAAATTAAGCAAAAGAACAAAACTCATTTAGGATAATTAATTATTTTGAAATACAGTCATTTCCAAAATTATGAAGCATTGAGGACCTTTGGGAGTGGAAGAATGTGCTACAGAGGGATAAATGAAAAAAAGAAAAGGCAGTAGAGAAACAGCATTGGAAGGAGGAAATGCAGAAACAGGTGGGAATCTAGAGGAAATGCAAATGAGCAAGACTGAGAAAATTCTCAGCTCTTTATAAATGGATCTTCTCACATTCTGCTGTTTACTTGGAAGTAGATTTCTTTTGTTAACTTCCATTTCAGAATTAAAACAATTTTTTTTTTACTTGCAGAAACAGTATAATGGAATTCCCTTTCCTGACTGTTAACATTTTAACACATTTACTTTATCACTGATTCATATTCTCTTTCTCTTTCCATATGTATATACACACACACACACACATATATAAATAACTTTATATATACCTATATAATTTTTTAAATGAAATGTTTGTAGGTTGCAAACATTAATGTCCCTTTGCCTCCAAATACTCTGATGTGTATTTCCTAGAAATAAGGACATTCTCTTATATAACCATAGTAAAATTATCAAAATCAGGAAATTAGCACTGATACAGTAACTATTTTCGAATCTATAGACCGTGTTCAGATTTTGCCAATTTGTCCTACTAATATCCTTCGTGTGGTTCAGGGTCACGTGGTGCATTTAGTTGTCATGTAGTTTTAGTCTCCTTTAATCTGGAGCAGTATTCAATCTTTATCTATCATGACCTTGACATTTTTGAAGAGTTCAGACCAGTTGCTTGGTAGAATGCTCCTCAGTTTGGATTTGTATGATGTGTTCTCTTGATGAGATTCAGGTCATGCATTTTTGCCAGGACGGTCGCAGAAGTGATGCTGTGTCCTTCCTGGTGCATCACATCATGAGCTCCCTCTTGGTTTGTTTCACTCCTGGCGGTGTTAACTTTGATCACTTGATTAAGGTGTTGTCTGTCTGATTTCTCCACTGTTAAGTTGCTGTCTTTCCCTTTTTAATTAATATCTTGTAGGTAGATACAAGAAACTATATAAATGAACAATTTTTCATCATACTTTTTGCCTACCAGTTTTATATTCATTCACGATTCTTGCCAGGAAAAATTACCACTGTGACATTTGCCCAATGGTGATTTTCTCTTTCCACCATTCCCTTTTCATTTATTAGATGGAAGCCTACTATAAGAAATAGCTTTCCCATCTTCCTTATTTATTTATTCATTTATTTATTTATGTCAGAATGGGTTATAGTCCATTACTGTTACTTATTCTGTTGCTTAAACTGTCCCAAATTTGCCTAGTGGGAACCTTTTCGAGTTGGTTCCTGTGTTTTTTTGATATGTTCCCATTTTTGATTACTTCCTTACTCTTTTTGACACCACAAGATGATCTAGGTTCATCTTGTACTTTCCCAGCCAGTTTTCTAAGGAGCCCTGATTCTTCTTATTGAAGAGTGGTATTTCAAAGCCAAGATCTGGATACTGGGTATGTTTGTTTGTACTGGTATAATATTCTTTGAATTGCTAATTAGCAAATTAATTACTTCTCTTGTCTAGCTCTCTCTATATAATCCCTCTCTCTCTCTCTCTCCCTCATATATATATGTGTGTGCATGTGTGTGCGTGTGTATATATATATATAAACATATATACACACACACATATATGTATGAGGCCATGCCTCCATTTGTCCTATTTTATTTGTTTCCCTAGCCTTGTGCTTCTTCACATATGTTCCATAATCTCCTTGGTTCAATAAAAAGGTGTTCTCACATTTGTTCATTTGTTTATTCATTCCTGCATTAATTAAAGTCAGTTGTATTATGTGCCAGGCACTGTGCCAGATCCTGGAAATATAAGTAGTCATGTTCCTGAAATGGAAATAAATCCATACGATGAAGCAGAAGGAGTTAGAGGGAGAGCATGGGGCATGTTGGGTGAGATTAGAAAAGTCAGCAGAGGCCAGATTTCGAGGGGGCGGGTCTTGCAGGCCATATTGAGGATTTAAAACTTTATCCTAAGGAAAATGGGAAATCACTGAGGATTTTGAAGCAGGGGAGTGACATAAGAAGATCCTCGGGTCTTCCCTGGTGGCACAGTGGTTAAGAATCCCCCTGCCAATGCAGGGGACATAGGTTTGATCCCTGCTCCAGGAAGATCCCACATGCCGTGGAGCAGCTAAGCCCGTGCGCCACAACTACTGACGCTGCACTCTAGAGACCTCGAGCCACAACTACTGAGCCCGCGTGCCGCAGTTACTGAAACCCGCGCGCCTAGAGTCCGTGCTCCGCAACAAGAGAAGCCACCGCAGTGAGAAGCCTGTGCAGCGCAACGAAGAGTAGCCCCCGCTCACCACAACTAGAGAAAGCCCACGCACAGCAACGAAGACCCAACACAGCCAAAGATAAATAAATAAAAAATAAATAAATTTATGAAAAAAAAGAGATTGTCATTTTAAAAAGAGGGCCCTGGCTTGAGAGGGAAGGCTGGGTGGGCACGAGGCTTGAGCAGCTGCAGGGGGACCAGCGTCAGTGAGAACCGAGGGTGGTTTGGACAGGATAGCAGGGGCTGATAGTGAACCCAGGGAGAGTAGAAGCAGTAAGATTCTGTGATTAGATGTGGAAGGAGTCAGGGTGTTTGTAATCCTGACATGTGAGCCCAGAGCACCCTGGATGCATCATCTTGTTGTTCCGTAACTTAGACAAGAGCATTTTCATTGTACTCTCTCCCTGCTCTGGGCTTTTGGGCTTTTTTGTAATTTAAGGTTTAAGAGTGTAACTGGGTTTACTCACATGGAAAGATAGTGAATACCAGATGATTTTAGAGCCTCATGGTTGGTTCCTCCTTTCAACCTTGGCTGTGTGTCAGTTGACAAGACCGTAAGATTTATTATAAACATTGCAAGCGACTTGGTAACCATGCTATGTCATTGAATTCCAGTGGAGGATAGATAAATTTCAGATCATTTTTTTAGACCTCCTCTGAAATAAACT